GAGCGCTCTCTTGGATAGCGGGTTTTCGGGTCGAAAGAACCGAACCCGACCTTAGTCTTCGAATCCCTCACCTTAGAACGAGCATGATTTAGGTCCATAATTCCTTACGGCATCCTTGCATGATCGGTGAATTCCGATTCCCGCAACCGTTTCCAATCGATTATCTCCTCTTGAACATTGCTTGCTTTGATTTTACGTTTTCATATTTAATTTTCCGCACTTTCAAAACCCACAAAACAATTATCCAATTTTATTTTTACCATTTTCCTAGTTTTAGTCGATTCCTAGCTTAACCGCTAAAGTCCTTGTGTTCGACCCCGGTACTACGACATCCGTATACTTGCGGATTAGTTGTGTGTCGGGTATAAATTTAAAGCTCGTCACGCAAGTGATCACAAACGCAACCAAATCTTGGTGTTGTTCGAATGCAGACATGTCCTCTTCAGGCAACGTCACCCATGCCTCGATTCCTTCACCGTCCTTTGCATCCATCAGTATGCATAACCTCGACATCTCATAAACGTAGCTAGCAATCCACAACGGAGTTCCCCACCCGAAGTCCACCTCGTAAAAAGGCATCCTACAGAAACTAGTCATGACATATACGTTAGTTTCAGCGCGTGACTCGCTCAGCGAGCTTAACATCTCCATTGCAATTCTCTCGCCGATCATTCTTAGTTTTGAAGCGGTAGATTCCGTTCCCCGGGTTTCTTCCATGATTATCTCATTAAGTTCCTCCTTAGTTTTCCTTAACTTGGAAACCATCTCAGTGATCTTTATTTCGCTCTCAGAGTCTTCGTTCAGTAAAGGTGAATAGAGTAGATTTCCCATTGCATCTGGAGGCAGGAGAGTGGAAGGAAGCCTAGGTCGCAAGTTAATGGATTGCGTCATTGTGAATGACTCGTTTGATCGCGACCCTTTTATAGCACTGTAGAGAAGTGCGGTGATGGCTTCTACACGGGTATGGTTCATGACATGCTCGCTCGCAACTCGGGTTTTGAGTTTGTGAATATTGGAGGACCGGAAAACAAACCTCTTTGTTATAGATTTCTTCCTCAGCGGCATAAGTGGAGGGACTTCCACCGAAAGATCAGCAGGAGGATAGAAAGCCGATGCTATGAATTGGGGATTCACTTTATCGACACACCCTTTCACTGTTGCCGCCCAAATGCGAACAAACTTTATGAACGAAGCTGTATCGAAAATTTTGTGAGAAACACTTGCTGCCACTGCCACTGCTTCGGTTGTGAAGAAGGTAACCTTGACGTGAAGCAGTGGCCACGACCCGTGATCTAAATAATCAAATGGATTAACGATTAGTTGCTTGAGCGAAACGACATCTGGGGTCCTCAGAAAATCCGAGAGCAGGATATCGGCTCGAGCCTCCGTGAACAAAGCTCCTTCGTCATTGCAGTCGATACGCGTCCCTTCAATTCGTCCCGCTAGTGGGAAGAAACGCGTTAGAATCTCGGATAGTGAAATCTTGAGCTTATGAGGAAATGTTGCTTGGGTGACGGTAGAATTGTCGGATGTTATGGAGTAGAAGAAGATTGAATTTATGTAAGTCTGTGGCATGAATTGATCAAAGAGAGTGAGTGGAATGGTTCGAAGGTGATCAGGCGTTGCTGAGGCTGGTTTTATTACTTCTTTGCTCATTACCTCAACCTTCATTGCCATTTTATTTTTGCAACAAGAGGCTTCTGTGTCTGTGTTCCAACTTCTGGGATGAAGTCAAGGACTCTATATAGGGCTCCAAATGAGTAATTTTTGAGCTGATTAGTTTTGTCGGATTCTGACAACAGTTTCAACGAAAAATCAAAAATTGACGTATTACTCTGAGGGGCACCCGATTCATTTATTGGTTTATATTGACGTTAGCTCTTTATTTAAGATCGGATATAATGATACATAACTGCAGGAACATCCAAGTCAAAATATAGCCGTACTTAATCCTGAATTTCCACGATTATAGTTTGAAACTTGGTGCAGATTAAGAGTGTTAACCACCACCAAACCTAAGCAAAACATAACGCTGATCCACCGCCAACGTTCAAGTCCATATCCATGCCATATGTGTGCTTAATTAATTATCCCATGAAAAACAAAACGAAAATGGAATACTCGTTTTCTGGATTTGGGGAAAACAAGGGGCTTATATCAGTAAAAAAAATTGAGGTAATTTCCTTGGAAAAATAATATATTAGAAGGATTAGAGACGAAGGAAACTAGTTTTTGGATTCTATATTCTATCTTCGCACAAAAGGGTTCCACCTGCAATTATACAGATTCGGTCTCATTATTATGAATTTATGCAAAATGGGCAGAACCCTATAAAAGAAAAAAAAATTGAACAAAACGGTCCACCACATGCACATACTACAAATACGTATAACACAAAGCTCCAAACACTTCAAGAGGAAGGTTTACAACATAGGATTCATAAATGGCAGAAAATCTTAAGAAGAAGATTTTGTTCTGAGAATTTGAATGATCAAAGATACTCTCGTGTTTTGTGGGTCCAATAAGATCTTGATGAAGCCTGGAGTTTATGAATAAAATCATCAAGAACAAACTTTGTCCTTTAATTATCACCAGAGATGTGAGTGTGTGTTAAAGTACCAACTTGGGCAACAAGAACAGAGATGAACATCTAGGATGCAGCCAAAAATTGTCATGCCCTCTTCCACAACACTTCAGATCCTCTAGAACAAGACACCGAACCTGCGCATATGCCGATTGATAACAAATTCATTTGGAGTTCATCTCCAAACTCAAGGTCTTGAAACTACATTCTAAACACAGAGAACCAGACCAAAATCCCAAATGAGTGGAAGATTTCACTTATAAAGTAGTCAAAGTGGTAAAAGCTTGTGTATTACCTCTCAAAAGCAGCCGGGCTGATGGGAACTACACCAGATGGGGTTACAAGGGCGTCGATCAGAACATCGCTAGGAGTCATTGGAATAGTTCCCTCATCGAGAATCTGGGGAGAATATGACAATGCAACTGCAAGAAGCAGGGGAATATCATATCACATTGTATATAAAGAATAAGCTGGAAAACTGTAACCCAATACACGGACGATTTTGGGCACATACCAAGGAGTGGTTTTCTCCACTTCTTCTCTTGTGCAAGATCGTGGTATCTCCTCAAGAATGTGTCATAATAGCTTTTTCCCAAGATTGGTTACATAAAATTAACAAGAATATGAGTACATAAGAGAAAGAAAAAGATGTTTCATACCATTCGGCAGGATGAAAAAAGAGATTGAATTTAGTTAAAGAAAAACCATAATCTCGTATGAAACTAAAACCAAGAGGTGTACGTATATTCTTAAAAATTTGTTGTTACAAGTTAAAAGCTTTCCTCCGGGTTACATTTCAAAATGAGCTGCGACATTAGGACAAAAGAAAATCGGGTTTAGTGAACTTACCCACCTCCACGACCTAAGCGTCTTCCAGATCTGTCAAACGCAAGCCCTGGTCATGCAAGTGATGAACAAAATCTGATTGGTTACTTATAGAGACAAAGGTAAAAGGACCAAAAGAAAAAACAAAGCCCTCTTATCTTACCTGGCAAGATGAACAGATCGATCGGCTCATCCGTTTGCATCACTGCAAAATAAAAAACAAAAGGAAATAAAATCATGGGACCATGCTATTTGGGCAGAGGCCATACTAGTGGTGGAAATACGAGAGAGGAACATACCTTCTTCTCGCTCATTTCCCTTGGCATCGACTGGAGCTGGTTCCAGAATGTTCATTGAGTTCGCTATGAGATCATCCATCTGAGATATGTGCAGCATACGCATGTTACTGTTCTTATCCTCCACACGGGGGACATAGAGCTTTTTACTTGCTTCTATATTGGCGTCTAACACAGATAAAAGATAAGAAGAAAACATTAGCAAACTCTCATATTTAAACACCACACCAATGCATTCTCAAAAAAAGCCCAAGAGAAATAGAAAATCAAAATGTCGGGGAAAGCAATTATATACAAACATATAAGTTCATTGTCCCCTTAAACATCAGTCTCCTAATTAACACTGGTTGGATGATAGGGTTATCAGGTTATACGTGAACTTAAACGAACTATTTAGGCTGTGCAGGTCTGGAGGATCTCCACTTACAGAAAATCCTGAAAAAGCTTTGGAGAAGAATAAAGCGAAAACTACCAATTCAGATCCAAACATGAACAAAAGAGACTCTTGTTTTTCAATGCCTATTGAAGATGGAGATCAGATTTACGTATCCTGCTTAACAAGGGGGAAAATCTGGGTGCTAACTACTGGTATAACGATCAATTATGTTTGGATCGACAAAGGACATTTTCTCATCGCCTTCAGACAGAACTTTTGATTCCCCGGTTCTAGTCAGTGACGACTAGTTTAGTAACTGAAAACTAAAAATCCTGAAATAACTGATACACAATACACACAACTAGTGAACCCTATCAGCCAACCATTCTAATTGTAAAAATCAAATCAATTCCCCAAGTAAACGAACATCAGACATTCTCTCTTCTGCAACAAGATTAAACTTTTGGAAGGGAACATGCAAGGAAGCAAACTCTTTACTACAAAACCATGGTTCGCATTCTCTAGAACTTGAACAATGCTATCCTCATGATTCAATGAGCAGAAAGAAAGAAACAAGAGCAGTACCACGATTTTGCAGAATTTCAGACAGGATTTGGGAAGTGTCAACTTCGTTTAGAGACCTGCAGCTTATGTAAGCACACAGTCTGCAACAGGACCTGAACCAAGAAGACTCGACAACAATTTTCTGAATCGCATCATCTGCAGCAAAAAATGTGAGAAGAAAAAAAACATGAAAAGTCAAAAATTTCAAAGAGACCCAAATCGGAACTGAGTCGAATTCAATTAATCGGTAAAAGTTTTGACCTTCTTGGGATCGAAGAGAAGGGTCCATGGATTTAAGTGTTCTACGTACAGAGGACCGCACGACCCGTTTCTGCTTGAAAACGGATTCGAGTTCTTCTCGGTCCTTGTCGCTGCCGATGTCTGTGGTGGTGGAGGTGGTGGTGGTCATGGCGACGCCGGCTCGGATCACAGGTCTGGATCGGGGTGGGGAACTGAAAACGGGCCGGGTCGAAATTTTGGGGAAGAAGAGTGATGATTTCGGTAGTGTTGCTGCGATGTGAAAGACGCAAGCGCCGATCATTTGGGCTGAGTTGTGCTTACTCATTACCGCTTGTGTCCTCTATTATTTTAACGATTTTTATATTAAAAAAAATGAAGGAAATTTCAGAGGATCTAAATAACCATTAGTTGGCAGAAAATAGATACAGATGATGTAAACTGTCCCCCCTAGTAATTATAACCATTAGTTGGCAGAAAATAAACTTCTATCAAATTTAAAAGAAATAAAAATTAAGAAATTATATTTATGTTCCTTATTCCTCAATTAGATCATTAATTAACTTAATTCAAGCATTAATATATAAATAAATATTGATTTAATATTGGTCACTGAAAATAAAGCCAACAACCATCTTATATGATGATAAAGTTTGCAAAATAAAACTTTATACGATGATACCAAATAAGTATCTCTAAATATATTTGACTATGTCTCTAATACCATATCTCCAACATAATCCTAATAATGTATTTTCAATTTTTTTTATTATTCCATTGATTTTTATGGAAATAAGTATTAGGGGTATCTTTCTCGGTTTTGATATTTTTTGAAGACATTATCCCATTCTCAATCTTGAATGCGATATTTGAGTACCCACGATCCGGATATCCGCAAGATCGAAATCCAAAGGTTATGAAATCGCGAAAAATTATAAAAATATCATTTAAATTTATTGATTTCAAGGATATATAAATAATTTTATTTGAAAAAATATATATGAAGATACTTTTCTAAATAAATAAAAAAATCGAAGTTATTTTGTTATTTTATAAATATTCGATAACCACAAAATAAAAATATACATAAATAATATAATCTGAACCCGAATCCGTCTTTTATTCATCTCGTCTTGTTGAATTCGACATCAACATCGAGTAACCGTTTATAGGACTCTCAGGTATCGCATAAAATTATAACTTTTTAAACAAATTTAAATTAAACCGAATCCATATTACAATACACCCTACCCCCAAATCAAAACCTAAACATGCAATTGGAAACGGAACCATACAAAGCCTCTTCAACATAGTCGATGAATCGTCCATAATAAATAAGTGCACGAGTGAATTTGTAGAATGGTGTAACTGTAACTTGGTATAATTCCATGTTGGGTTCTATTCTCATTGATTACATATATATACACATTGAGAGTATTATGGAAACGGTTATATATATGGCAAGATATATGCAATCACGTAAGATCCTATATTAGTCCGTAAAATCCTCTATCACACCCCGCAGTCGGAGCGGGAGAAAGAACAGTGATGATGGTAGGCCCTTGGTTAAGATGTCCACATATTGAGATGACGAGGAAACATGCAGAACTCGTACCTAGCCGATGGCAACCTTTTCGCGTACATAATGGATGTCAATCTCGATATGTTTCGTTCGTTGATGTTGAACAGGATTCGCCGATATAAACGCTCTGACATTGTCGCAAAAGACCACGGTTGAACGAGTGAGAGGACAATAAAGATCCGTGAGTAGGTTGTTGGGCTTTCCTGAGATCTCATAAGCGAATCCTATTCCTAAGAGATCAGTTCTAGGGTTTGCGCAGTGGATGTAAAACAAAAATTTTGATAAAACCCTAAAACCTATCATGCATGATCTTGTAGAAACGATAGAATGCTTACCTCAATCGATCCGGGGCCTGTATCTGTAACGACCCGAGGCCGCTACGAATTGTCGAAACTGCCCTCACACAGCAACCCGAGACCTTTCAGCGTGTTTTTGTCCTCACTCGCACGCATACCGAGACACTTTCCAGTAGGTCACCCATCCTGAGATTGCTCCAGAGCCAGCACGCTTAACTTTGGAGTTCTCTCAGGAGAGTCAACTAAAAAGGTAGGTGCACCTTGTTGCTATGAGTAGCTCAACTAATTCTTTTATGTTATCTTAGACTGTATAGGCCCATACCTATACAGCCCTCGGATCTCTCTCATTCCGGTGTGTTCGATTCATCCCTGTACCCCCTACCCAGAAGCTCGTCAGGAGCTCGCCGATGCAGAGGCACATGGACGATATAAAATAAAATAATAAGTCGCGGAAGCAAAATCACGAAATCCAAAAACATTTTTAATAAACCAGAGTAAGCAGCGGAAACTACAACAGGCGATCAATATCGCAAAATAACACATGTCCGAATAGTTATAATTTAACCGTACAAAATGCGGAAAATACAAGTCTCGTATTCCAAAATGTAAATCCCGTATATGATGCTGTCTCTCCCAGGTCGTCGTCTGCCGGATGCGCTAGGCGTGATCTGAAAAATGTAAACCACGAGGGCTAAGCACAACTGCTTAGTGAGTAGCCCGAGTTGAACCCGGAAATCCCGTTCCTAACGAGAACGGTACAGTCGACATTTCCATAAAGAAAACACATGCAATAAGTAAAAACACGGTAAGCACGTAAATAGCAATCACAATCACGCCCGTATGGAGTCCACCATAGGGCTTAGCCGTATATTCTGGTCAAGTCCATGACCAGGGGCGAATCCACGCCCGTCACTCGTGTGACGTTGGCCATCACATCGCATGCGATCGTGCGCGTCTCTGCGCCTGTCACTCTCGTGACTACCGATGTCAAGTCCATGACACAACGGAAATACAATCATACCCATATGGAGTCCACCATAGGGTCCAGCCATATACCCTAGTCAAGTCCATGACTAGGTGCGAGTCCACGCCCGTCAAATCCATGAC